GCCTCAGGTAGGAAATCATCTCAACAATAGGACAGAGAGTTGTGAATTATTTTCTGGTATTCTGTCAGTGTTCACTCGATACATATTTATTGAGCACCTCCTTCACTGCAAGTTTTCTGTCTGGTAATGTATGGTCAGGGTACAGGACTTATTAAGTTGGTGTGCTGCTTCAGCCAGCCCTGAGTAGTTTAATCTTGAAATCATTCTAATGTGTTGAATAATAAGTAAAATGTGTTGCATTTACTTTTTTCTGCACATCAAATGTGAAAGTAGTGTTCTGTAAACAGAGACTGGGCGAAAGCAATTATGGAAAGAATAGTGAGAACTAGTAATTGAACTTAGTTAATACTCACTAAGAACAGAATAGTCTAGAGGCTTTTAGCTTCCTGGGAAGTGATATCATGGTGATAAAAATATTAATTGCTATGTTTATTGAATCCTAACTATGCACCAAACTCTGCTAATTTCTTTACATGTATTATCCCATTTAATCCTTACAACACTTTGAGGTTGTGAATATTATCTCCATTTTTTTGGTGGAAAGATTTTGAAGCCTTAGAGGGAGTAAGCCACTTGCATAAAGTCACAGCAGTAAGTATGGATTCAAGCCAGAATTCAGACCTACGCCTCGCTGATTCTAAAGCCCATATTCCCAGTCATTTTAATGTATTACCTTCTGTGGAATGAAACCAAAACTGATCAAACCTTTTGTTCCAGATCTGTAATGTTTTTCCCAACACCCTCAGTCAAATATACCCTGGTTTTTATTATCCCGTAATAAGTTTATGCATCAGTCTTGTTATCTTCCCAATTTTGACTATCAGACTGGAAAGTTAGCCTTTTCTTGGTCTAACTATATGATTGGTACTCATGTCATTTAGTCGGATTTGATCATCAGCGTGAACTTTCTTAAAGTGGAAATAATCCTCAGATTTGAAGAAGAAAATATCTAGCAGCTAGTTTAGTAATCTATAATCTCATGGTCCCAGACTCTAATGGATTGTTTTGGGCCTTGCTGAGGGCACTGAACTATGTTGCCTCTGTTCCAAATTATGGGCCTTCTTACTCAGCCAAAAGACAATCATATTAGTGTTCACAGTGAAGATGCATCTTAGATTTAAAGATCAGGAAAATTTAGGCTCCAGGCAATTTGACTTGGGGCTCTCTGATGTCTCCTGCCAATTTTAGAAATATAAGATTTTACATTCAAACTATGAAATATGTATGTCCTGCTCACTAGGTGGGTTTGCAGTAGAGAACTTTGCCTGTAATCATTTTTACTTCTGATGGGCATAACAGACAGTGTTCTGAGACTCCAGGTAGTAGCATGGTTAGATCTCAAAAGCCAAATTCTGTCAGATTGAAAAACATAGATGTGTTCAGCTAAGTGGTGTGAGATTACTGTGCATTACTTGAATTGTACAGTTCAGAAACTAGAAAGCCTATCAAGAAAATTATCATTTTGAAATACTTGTATAATGGCAGGATTTACTCTGAGGGATAGATAAAGTCTCTTGGAAGATAATTTTATGAAAGAGAATAAGGTTGAAGTTTAATTTTGTTGGAATATATTAACCTTGAAAGTCCTTAATAAATCAAGACCCACCTGCAGACACTGATTCCTTTTTCCTTTTACTATTTTTCTAATCTTATTTTGGCTTTTGTTCATAATACAGGTTTTCTTCTCTTCCTGGCTTCCTGTCTTCTGTAAATCATTTCATCTAGATATATAGAGACCATCTGTCCTCCCAAAAGACTGTTCCTTTTCTCAACAGGGGGCAAGGTGGGAACAAGAGGCACAGTGTTGGTAGAAAGCCAGGAAAATCTTGCGGACAGTTTTTTGGCTCATCTTCTCTGGCCCCTACTTTGCCTGCCCTGCAGCCCCCTGGGGAACAACAGGGAGCCAACAGCTTGTATCCATTTGAGAAAGTGGCACTGGCTTGCAGAAGAGAAAATGCTAGGCTGTTGAGCTCTCTTCCTAGATACAGAAAAACAATGAGGTTAGTGGGTAGTGTGCTGGAATGCACACGTTCTGTGCCATAAGATCAAATAGAATGGAATTTATTAATTGTCATGGAGGTGGAACATAAGAGGCTTTATCAGCATTTGGCTAAGTAAAACACAAGTCAATCATTTGAATTGCTTCCAAATATATAATTAGAAGCTTTCTACATTGTGATAATTTGGTAATAACCTATGTCTTTCCCCAAAGACCCTCTCACGGCCTTGGGGCTTACATTCATAACGCTGCTCCAGGAAGGCACCCATAGGATTGTGTAGGCTTAAGATACACACTTCATCCCTGGAGCTACATGATGTGTAACTATTGCCCTTGAAAAATTAGCCCTAATGGAAGTCCTTGAGAAACTACCTCGGAAGCTCCCTAGCCTTAGCACAGTGGGTATTGAGTTAATAAATGTTGAATGACTAACAGATTAGTTTGGGTCAGTTTTCATTAGCGTTTCTGTGTGTGAAGAGAAACGGCTCTCTCCTACCTCCTCTAGCCATGTTTAAGACCTCAGAAATAAGGCAGTCTTGCCTCAGAAGAGCCTAAAAACCTAAAAGTAGGGATGTTTCCCAAAATCAAATTACAGAGGAGGTAGTAAACTTTGAAGTAGGCCATACAATATGAACTTGATTTTTATAGTTTTTAAGCCCTGTTTCAGGTTCCAATCACATCAAAATAATAACAATAATAATAATAGAAAAAGTCTGAGTTTCAGAGAACGTTAATAAAAATGCTGATGTGAGCGTTGGAATTGTTACTTGGGGATCTCCACTGGAAACTGTCTTTACTGTCTTTGAAACATAACAGAGGTGAGGCTTTATGTCCCTATGGAAAACAGACAAATACAGGCCTTTCATAAGCCTTGAGCACACTGCTGCTGTTGCCAACATGATAAACAAGAAACATTTCAGCCTTGAATCTATCTTGTGGGATAAAGCTTCAGACTCATCTAATTCAAATATATAAGATTTCTCCACAGCTATGAAATCTCCCAGATAAGGGTAAAATGAGCACCCTAAGTTGTTAAAGCCTAGCCTGGAGAGCAGGGACCACAGCTTTGTTTCTCTTGCCTTGAAGAAGCAGCTCATAGATGAACTACCATGCATCTCCACCTTTTGCCTGGGAATCACATTTCCCTGAAAACCTGATTTAAACCTTGCAGAAACTATGCCTATTTGCAAAAATTTCATCAGTCCTCCATTTTGCTTCAGGATGGTAAACTGAACCATAAATCAAACTTAAATTAAATCCTGAAAACTTTTGGTATTGTCAAAAAATTAATCAGGTCCATAAAAGTGATTGTGTGATAAACATGAAATATTGAGTGGTTTGAGTTATAAAAGAGACCTTCACTTAAAATTGATGATGTTGATTTCTTGGGAAATAGTTTTGCTTGTCATTTAAATATGACTAAGCCCCATGGCTGTATAAGTTTATCCAAAACAGCGTAGTACTGTCCTGTAGGATGAATATGTACTACTGCTTAGAAGGACAAAATGGTGTTATATTCAGGTATAGTCTTTGGATCCAGACAGAGCTGAGCTTGAATCCCAGCTCTGCCACATGTAACTTCATGTTGCCTCAGTTTTGTCATCTATAGAATGGAGTTGATAATATCTACTCCGTAGGGTTGTTACAGTGATTAAATAATAAAATATATGGATCAAGTACCTGGCCCATAGTACATGTTCAGTAAACATTTGCTATTGTAAAAATGTAGTTCTTGTGTCTTGCTCAGTGATACAGTCTCACCTGTGAGGAAACAAATTAAGGTATATATCAACTTACCAAGCTAGAAGAAATGAGAATTGAAAGAGAATTTCACCCTTGACTACATGCGTCCTTATTTTGTGTCTCATATGTAAGTCTTATCTCCATACTAGATGGTGAAGTCCTTAAGGACAGAAACTGAATATTCTCCTTCTTTCCTGTACCCTACAATGACTAACACAGTGCTAGACAACTAGTAGACATTCAGAAAGTGTTTGTTGATGTGACCTTACTTAGCAATGTCTTATGTCTAGGTATACCCCTCTTATGAGAAAAGAATTATGCCCTGCCACATAGAATCTGAGTTTCCTGGTAACTGTTATTTTCCAATAAAACCATGGGGAAATTTTACCATCTTCAAATCATTTCACTTTCTAATTGGTTTCTGGGCCCATCTTTAGCCATTTTATTATTTATGCATTTATACGTATCATTAACACTGCAGCTGGTACTAAGATAACTTTCTTGTTTCTATTTTTAAGTGAAAATCTTAGTTTTCTGATATTACTTGGATTAGCTAGAGGTCCTTTATACTTAACCTTTCCATCTGCATATTTAAATATATTTAGTGGTTTTTCAGTAGCTTTGTGGTAAGTAAGCATATCTAATTAAGGCATCCTACACTATACTTTTTTTTCAGGCTCTGTTGATGTCCTTGCATTTGATTACCATTTGGGGGGAAACTTGAAAATGCATTGTTGTTCTTTGAAATCCTTAGAGGTCTGAGTGTGTAACAAGATCAAGTACAGATTGAGGAGCTGATATGACTTCACATATATATAATTGATCAAACTTGTAATAATTAACTTTTAAGTCTTCTCTGAGTAGCAGGGACATGGATGATCCAGAGAGCACTTATTACTAATAATATTACTTATGAATTTGAATGGAGTTTTAACATTGTTTTTATCCCACAAGGCTGCTCCTGATCTGTAAGGTATATGGGATGTTATAGCAGCTCTGTTTTATCCATGAGGAAATTGAGGCTCAGCGTAGTTGGGTAACTTTCCTAAAGTCATAAATATTAGTGGCAGAACTGGAATAAGAACCCAGTTCTTCTGTTTCTGATTAATTTTTTCAAATCTTGGAGAGAATTACAGTTGAGAAATACAGTCCCCTCCATTAACTGTTTTCTGCCATTCAACACAGTTGATCATTCCACATTCCATGTCAAAATACTTTAAAATACACCCCAAGAACACTCTTTCTGTTTCCCTCTCAGTTTGAACGCCACGATCCTGTGGATGGGAAAATTTCTGAGAGGCAGTTTGGTGGCATGCTCCTGGCCTACAGTGGGGTACAGTCCAAGAAGCTGACTGCCATGCAGAAGCAGCTGAAGAAGCACTTCAAAGAGGGAAAGGTAGGTATCTTCGCCTAGAGGAAGAAGAGGAACCATGAGAACATATAATTATTGCAAAGGTACTAATATAATCAGAGTGTCCTGAATCAAAGATTATGACTAGTTCATCTCTGATACCTGGAAAAAATAAGCAGTGGATGAGGAAGAGGGCAGAGCCCAGAACCCTAGGTTTCTTGTTCAGACGAAGGATGGCACCATGAATTGAGACTGAGAATTTAAAAAGAGAGGCTGGTTTACAGGGGAAGATAGAGTTCAGTTGTAGACATTTTGAGTTTATGATGCCTGTGGACTATCCAAATAGAGATGATTAGCAAGACAGTTGGAAAGGAGCAAGTGGAGAAGCAAAAAGACTGATACTAAGATTATTAGGGATTTCAGGAAGAGATAATTGACCCTTTTTGAGCAGCAGTGAAATTGGAGACCATGGATTTGTGGTGGTACTGGTCAACGTTGCTCTTGGATACCTTTCAACACCAGCTGCACCTGGTGCAGGAAGAGGCACATGGTAGAACTGAGTCAGCATCTGGGATTTTGCCAGGGGGTGGGATGGACAAACTGAAGCAGAAACTGGTTAAGAGGTCAGACCTGCTAAGGATCATACACACACATACATGCCCCAATGCTAGGGCCAGATGTTCTCATACTCAGCGCAATACCCTTTCCAGCTGACAGTGATTACTATTTGGCCATGACCAGGAAACTGACCAGGCACTAAAAATGCTCCATGAGAGACTGCCAAGGTAGTGTGGGATGGTAGACATGGAGCTGGAAGACTTGAGTTCAAGTCCTTCCTCAGAGGTTTCCATGGACGTTAGACAAATCTCTCATCCTTTTTGGCCTCACAAATTGTGAGACTTGTCCTAGATGCATGCTGTAAGGGCCCTCCTAGCTTTAAAGATTCAATAACTGAAAATAAGTAATAGGATTGGTAGTGCTTGTCTCAGTTTTCTTAGTTATTAGTCTTTGTGCAGGAAATCTTGCATGAATCGCATTTCCCCAATTTAGTGGAAAGCAGTTCTTATCAGCTAAACTTTTTCCTCCTTGTCTTGGATGTTGAAAAGGTGAAAGGACCTCTGAACCAGGCTATGGACTGCAACTGAGGACAGGCTGGGCTCTGAGAGGAAGTGTCAGCTTCTCTGAGCTCAGTCCAGCCTGTCCCAAGGTGTTCCCTTGGCTATAGGGGAAGACTCATCATTAATTGAAAGTGACAAGAAGACAATACTTCTCTCCCAGAGAGAACTTCTACACAACCCAGTACCCAGCTCGTGTCTGTTAGAAACTGTAATTTCAGAAAATTGATTACAAATATTTAGGTGGATTTTTTAACCCCTATGCTGGAAGTATAGCATTTGCATAAGGAATGCATTAGGACTTATTTTTAAAGTTTGGTCCAGACATTGCTTTGACATTAAAATAATCACCTATCATGATAGGCTAATTCATGTTTTATTATGAATTTATATTTAAAAGCAATAAATTGGGTATTAGAGACACCTCCCTTGAAGGAATGTTTTAGCTTTGGCAGGAGTTAATTTAGGACCTGAAGACCTTGCAAAAGATCTCTAAAATGAAAGGACAAATTTTGTCAGATGATAAAAATCTGGGGTGCTAAATTGCCTCAGGCCCAGAATTTCTAGCCTGCTTTAGCAAGGAGATTGAGATTGATTGTCCTCTCATGTTGATTAAATAGTTTGTGAACAGGGCAGTTAACTAAAATGAGAGTTAATGAAGGGCCTTTGCTCCTAAAGTTACCAGTCCATCTCTCTAGACCATGTCCCGTTAAAGGGCAATCACCGTCTGCTTTCTAATTACTTCTTTTATTCCACTTTGGATTTGTTGATGTGAAAATGTGAGTTTTCATTTGACTGATGTTAATCATTTTCTGTACAAAACATCAAACCAGACCTAAAAGGTCCTAGTGGTGGTATTAAATAAATATTTGCATATTAATGACCATGCAGTGCTTCACAGCCAATTTTTTTTTCTGTCTTTCTAACAGTCTTGTTAGATCTCATTTTGCCTTTGAGAATATAGAGACAGAGAGAAAGAAAATTAATGACCCACCCAGACCCTGGACTAAAGTCCAAGGCTGCCTATTCCAGATCTTGTCCTTCCATGGCAAAGTTCTATTCTTTTAACAATACTCTTCCTCTAAAGCAGTGCTTCTCCACCCTGGTCTCCCAGTAGGATCCCTTGGGGACATTTTGAGAAATGTGGTTGTTGGGGCCCTGTTCAAACTAATTAAATCAGAAGCTCATTGGGTCTAGGCATCAGTATTGCTTAAAAGGCTCCCCAGGTGATTCTAATGTGCAGTTAGGCATGTGAGCCACTGCTCTGGAGGGGCTGTGCCCCATCAGTCTCTCTCATTGTTTTGTGCCTGAGTAGAAGCTTGAAGAATTGGGAGACTTACTCTGCCTGGAAAAATTACTTTATTCATGTTCTGGGTAACCGCCATGTTTTTTATTTAACGAAGAGTTTTCTTTTCTTTTCTTTTATGGGGAACATGTTTTATTTTGGATTCGTTTTAAAGATTAGTCCCTATTTTCTACCAAGTTTTCCCCATTCCCCTCAATATTCTTTTTCCTATGAATTCTTCTTCTAGGTCAAACCTGACTCAGCTCTAAAATTTCCTTACCTTCCATCCTCAAAATTGTCATCTTCTCCTCATTAAAAGAGTTTTCTGAGACTTGATAAATATAATTCCCAGTGGTGGTTCTATGTGCTTAAAAGTGCAGAAGATGCAAACTTTGATAATTTAGAAAATCCACTTAAAGATAAATTGAAAATTACAGTTCAGTTCAATGCAGACATTGCTATATGCAAAACACTAAGCCAGATGCTGTGAGAAAGATAAAAGATAAACAAAAAACATCACCTATCCTCAAGAAATACTTAGTCTGTAATAGTCTAGTAAGAAAAAAATATGTATGCAGAGAACTACATCATTTCATATTCAATATTTGTTGAGCACCTACTGTGTTTCAAACATTCTTCTAAATATTGGGAATATAATGAGCAAAATCATGTCTCTGCCCTCACAGAACTTAACATTGCTAGTGGAGAGAGACAGATAATAAATAATTATAATACAAGGCAACTCAGTCAACTTTGAGCCTCTTGACAGCAGTGTCTTACTCATCTTTTCCATCCTCAGTATTGTGTTAATAAGCAAATGTTTGTCAAATGCATTGATGAATGTATTAAGTACCCTAATAAAGATATGAGATCTTCTGGGAGCACCAATGAGAAAGATTAGAACCAACTGAAAAGACTGAGTAAGAATTCTTGAAGGAGATAGAATTTGAACTTGGCCTTAAAGGCAGAGTAGGATTTCGACAAGCAGATGTTATAAAGGTATTTGCTTTTGCTATGTGTGTCCTCTTACAGCCCTATCCCTAACAGCCTTCTGTGTATATCACTGCTTATTAATACTGCTACTAGCCATTAAGAAGGGTTAGAACTTATCAAGCAGTTATATTAAGACTATTAGATTATTAACTTTTCATGTTCCCTGTGGATGATATTCATGTGGGCTCTCCTATTCACTTATTCTTGCAGATATTTGAAAATTGAACCACATTATGGGCCTTGTGGAATATCAAGCTCTAGAAACATTGCTAGCATAGCCCTTGAAAAACTCTAGCTCCAATTGTGAGGTACCCACCAAAGTCACTATGTAGTAAAACGTTTGAGGTGTTGCCATTAAACTAAAAAGACTAGGGGCCAGCCCGGTGGCGCAGCAGTTAAGTTCACACGTTCCACTTCTCGGCGGCCTGGGGTTCGCCGGTTCGGATCCCGGGTGCGGACATGGCACCACTTGGCATGCCATGCTGTCGTAGGCGTCCCACGTATAAAATAGAGGAAGATGGGCACAGATGTTAGCTCAGGGCGGGGCTTCCTCAGCAAAAAAGAGGAGGACTGGCATTAGTTAGCTTAGGGCTAATCTTCCTCCAAAAAAAAAAACTAAACTAAAAAGACTAAACTTCACCGATTTGCTTTATTCTACTGATTAGCTTTGAAACCTGTGCTTCCCCCAAAGGAAAAATTAACTGTGAGTTACTATTAAGAGATTTAATTTTATGGATTTTTCCCCTTTATATTTCTGGTTTTCCCCCACAGTTAGTTTCATATACTTCAACCTTTCCCCTATTTCCTTTCCCTCAAGGTCCTACACATACCAGAGAAGAGAGTATATTTCAGAGGTTGAGTAAATTCATTTGCCACTGGTTCTACAGCTATAAGCCTGCCAGCTTACTAAAGTCTTTCGACCTTCCACTTACTGAGTATCTTCTATGTACTAGGCATTTTACTTATCTTTTCCCTAATTATCACATCCTGCTTGATGGATCAAACTCCCATTTTTCAGATGAAAAATATTTTTCTCAGCCTTAGTTATTTGTCAGAGATCATACAGTATCTTAAGAGGTGGCACCAGGATTCAAAGCCAGGACCATCTCATTCCAGAGTCCATTTTCTTTCTACTGTTTACTGTCCCTCCTTATTCCCATAATTTGAATAAGCACAAGGGTTTTGGGGAAACAAGAAAACCAGTGTTACTAGGCTCTATCCTAGAGGTTCTTAGAGAGATCGCTGGAAAGGTAAGTTACGGAAGCAGATTGTGGAGGACCTTGAATACAAGGCTAAGAATTTTGGGGTTTATCCAGTTGACAGTGGGAAATCACCAATATTTTATGAGCAGGAGGAATGAACTTATGAAGAAAGTGCTGTTTCAGGACAATTAGATACTTATAGAAATGTAAGTAATGGACATGGTGTAATTCCTCCCTGCTGCCAGGCACCAGTTGAAGAGAAGTCTGGGGTTTGCAGTGGGAAGATGCTTTATTAGAGCAAGACAGGCACGGTAATACCTCAGAAAGGGTACCCAAGAAATTAGTAACAGTGACCACATGTAGGGAGAGAGACTGGAAGCCAGGGGCAGAGGAAGAATTGCTCTGTACTGTATAACACTTTGTACCATATTCATATATTACCTGGTAGAA